CCCCCCCCCCCGCCCTGCCCCTGTGAAAGACACGGCGCAGTGTTTCTGCCTGAGGCCGGCAGGGTGTTAGGTGAGGGGCCAGAGGAGCACAGTATGCTTGTCGTGAGGAGGCTGAGGGGCGCCGGGCTGGCCCCGTATCTCGTTAGTGCTCTGTGTTGATGCCTTTAGATGCCTCCAGCTCAGTCCACGCCGTGGTACTGCAAGGCTGGTTCGCTCCTCGAAGCGCCATGGCATGAGATGGAGGCTCCTAGAAGCAAGAAGAAAGGTACAGTACCGCCCAGCCAGCCTTGACCTCTCCGCGGGTCTCTAAGCTGTGTTTGCATTTACATCTGAACTCTTTGGAGGCGGGGTGGGGAGGAGGACCTGGACCACAGACACTAGGAGTTGCTAGACCGAGGCCCGTCCTGAGTGAGCCGGGACTCGGGGTCGTCCGTCCCGCCGCCTGGCGCGCAGGGCACGGTCTGGGGAGGCACCAGGAGCGGTGGACGGTCGGTGGGGGCCAGGCTTGGCGTCAGTGGCTGGTGACGAGGTGTCGGAATCGCGTCCCCAGCACAGCTACTGCCGGAAGAGGTGATGACGAGCAGCGTGCGTGCTGCCAGCTGTCCCTCCCCTCCCCCGCAGGCTGTGAGGCGGGGGCCCCCGTGCTGCCAGGTGAGGCCCCGGAGTCAGAGGGCTCCGTGGCATGAAGTCTCCCCTCTCTCCTCCACGCCTCACAGAGAAGCAGGGTCCCGAGCGGAAGAGGATTAAGAAGGAGCCTGTCACCCGCAAGGCCGGGCTGCTGTTCGGCATGGGGCTGTCCGGGATCCGCGCTGGCTACCCGCTCTCGGAGCGCCAGCAGGTGGCTCTCCTCATGCAGATGACGGCCGAGGAGTCTGCCAACAGCCCAGGTGAGCCCTGGGGGCGGGTGGTCCTGGGGCCTGGGAGGCCCTCCTTCGGGATGCTTGGCCCAGCCCCGCACGTCCCTCCCGGTAACCTCCGTGCATCCTCTCCTCTGCCTGCAGTGGACACGACACCAAAGCACCCCTCCCAGTCGACAGTGTGTCAGAAGGGGACGCCCAATTCTGCCTCAAAAACCAAAGATAAAGTGAACAAGAGAAATGAGCGTGGAGAGACCCGCCTACACCGGGCGGCCATCCGGGGGGACGCCCGGCGTATCAAGGAGCTCATCAGCGAGGGGGCGGACGTCAACGTCAAGGACTTCGCAGGTGAGAGCTCGGAGGGAGGGCCGCGGGGCAGACCCCCTTTTACATAGGATGATTTGCTCTTTCTGTGTGTCCAGAGCTGTGCACTGAGAGAGGAGCGTATGTGAGACCAGGAGGCCTTCCTGTGTGGAATCCTAGGTTTTCCCACGGCCCTGGGTGTTGGACCCAAACCTAGTTTAGCACCTGTTTTTTAAAAAAGCGATTTTCCTAAGTTGCATTTTTCCGAAGCCCTGGGATCTGTCCACGGGGCAGCTCCGTGTGCGTGCCGACGTGTGCAGCCGCTCCCCGAGAGGCCTCAGCGCATGCTCACGGAGGCCCTTCCAGACCCGCGGCCGTGGCCACGCTCTGCCTGCTTCCCTGTGTGCAGAAGGGGCACATCCTCCTTGTGTGTTGACAGGTGACTTGGGCTGAGGCTGCCCCTCGTGACCCTGTGTTCATTGATCCTGTACCCTTGTCAGCTCGGTGGGCCACGTCACCCTCGCAGATTCTTAGTCTGTAAGGTTAACCGCTAGAGGTCACGAGCAACCCAGAGGCGCCCAGCACAGACCACTCGGCATTTCTAGGCTGGGCGCCCACCAGGCCTCTGTCCTGTCCTTAGCGCTTCCTGAGTGCCACCCAGAAGCGGGAGTGACCTTCCTGAGGGTTAAATCACGTACGTGCTGAGTGTCTGTTTCCAGGCTGGACTGCACTGCACGAGGCCTGTAACCGGGGCTACTACGATGTCGCAAAGCAGCTGCTGGCCGCCGGCGCAGAGGTGAACACCAAGGGCCTGGATGACGACACGCCCTTGCACGACGCCGCCAACAATGGGCACTACAAGGTGGGCGCCTCCCCGCAGACCCCACAGCAGGCCTGCCATTAGACTGTGCACTGGTCCACAGCCACCTGTTTCTCTGTCCTCCCTGTTTGCGGGGTGACCAGGAAGTGAATCTTTGACAGGCCCTGCCCGCCCCCCAGCCCAGCTTTCTCATCCTGGGTCAGCACCTGGATGGCCTCTCACGCCGTCTGTGGCTTGTGTGTCAGGGCCCTGCTCTGGCCACTCAGGTGTGGTCAGCCATTAGGAGGTGAGTGGTCATACCCAGAGGCAGGGGGGCTCTGTCTGTCCTCGTCCCTGTGCTGCTGCTGCCAGCCCCGGCAGCCTGGACGGGGGGCGGGGGTGGACAACATGGGGTGAGCAGCCCAGGAGCTGCAAGCACCTGGGGCACGGCCCCTTAGGTCCAATGCAGGAGCTGCACGTGTAGGTGAGGGTCTGGCCGCGGTCATCACCACACTGTCCAAGAGGCCCCCGGCCAGAGATGGGATGGTGAGCGTGATGAGGACACGTGGCAGCTGTTTGAGTGCGTCTGGTCTGTCGTGGCGGCCCCGCTGGTCACTGTAGGCGGGTGTCAGGGAACCGGCAGTGTGGCCCGTGTGAAAATGACGCGTTGGCGCAGGGACAGATTGGGAGGTGCTCTGAGCTCAGGATGCCAAGACACCTGGGACACCTGAGTGCTGATTACAGAGCTGACGTCAGGAATTAGTTAACGTTTTAGGGAAGACGATGGCACTGTGGGGTTTTCGTTGTTACTGTTTCTGAAGAGCCATTTTAGAGAAGTGTGCTGAAAAACTTTATGAAATATCTGGGATTTGCTAAAAACAACCAGGGCAGGCAGGGACTTCCCTGGTGGTCAGTGCTTAAGAATCCGCCTTCCAACGCAGGGGATGCAGGTTTGATCCCTGGTCAAGGAACTCAGATCCCACATGCCATGGGGCAACTAAGCCCGCACGCCGCAACTAGAGAGAAGCCCACGCACCGCAACGAAGAGCCCACACACCGCAACGAAAGGTCCCGCCTGCCACAGCTAAGACACGACACAGCCAAAAATTAAAAAAAAAAAAAAAAAAAAAAAAAAAGATACCCGGGGCAGTGGGCAGGTATGGGGTATGGGTGAAATGAGGCTGGCTGGCTGGTAGGTGATGGAGCTGGGAGGGAGAGGGCCGCCGCCTGAATCTCCGCTTGTGTAATCGTCTTTAAACTTGTTATTAGGGAGAAGTGAGAGACGTGGACACGTGGCCTCAGGTGTGGGCTCTGCAGAGGGGAGAAGGCTGGGGGCCAGGAGATGGGAGATGACCCAGGACTGTCCGGGTGGGCTGGTGGCCTTCGGGGCTGCATACGGCAGAGACCCTTTCTCGGCCGGAGGGAGAACAGCATTGAGGGGACTTAACCTGCGTTGCTGGTCTCAGAGGGAGGGGCCGTAGCCAGGGAACGTGGTGGCCTCAAGCAGTTGGGGTGTTCGTCGGCTGGCAGACAGCAGGGACACGGGACCAGAGCCCTGACTCTGGCCCCAGGATTGTCCAACACCGTGGTGATTTGTCAGAGGGCAGGGGAGCGCCTGCCCAGGAAGCAGTGTCCTGCTCCCGCCATGCAGACCCAGGTACAGCTGCGTGCAGCCCAGGCTGAAGTGGAGGCCGCCGTCCCGTTTGCCAGGCACCTGGGGGAGGCTGTCGGTTCCGCCCCGGCCACCCGAGTGAAGCGAGGATCGAGATGGAGTGAGTCACACAGAATTCTTTGGACTCCTGGTGCATCTGAACGTGGTCTGCACTGGACAGTTGCCGTTAGGTGTGCAATAGCAGTATCTATAAACAAGTCGCACTCCTTCGTTAAGAAATACATTATTGCGGGACTTCCCTGGCGGGCCAGTGGTTAAGCCTGCACGCTTCCACTGCAGGGGACGTGGGCTCAATCCCCGGTTAGAGAACTAAGATCCTGCATGCCGTGCCATGCGGCCTTAAAAAAAAAAAAAAAAAAAAAAAAAAAAAAAAAAAAAAGAAATACATTATTGCTTAAAAAAAATGTAACTGTCACCTGAAGCTCCAGGAGTCGTGATCTTCCTGCTGGTGGAGGGTCTGAAATACCGCGAGAACTACCAAAATGGGACACAGAGACACCAAGTGAGCAAATGCTGTCGGGGAAATGGCGCCAGTAGACTTGCTGGGTGCAGGGTCGCCACAGACCCTCAGTCTGTAGACGACACGGCATCTGAAGCGCCGTAAAGTAAGGTCTGCTGTCCTTGCGTTCAGTGGGTCCTGGGCACGGATTAGCGACAGGTGATCTTACTTTCCTGCAATAAACGAAAACATGCAATCAACCTGCTTGCACAAGCTTGGTCTTTGTTCTCTCTACTGTGTAACACGCCCCCGCCCCCACCCCCCACCCGCCATAAAAGCCTTCCCCACAAGTTGCAGGAACCCGGCGGCTCGAGAGGAGCAGCCTGTTTGAGTGGTGGGTCTGTGGTGGGAGAGGCCTCGCAGGCAGTGCAAACAGCCTCCCCCCCGCTTGGCCTGGTCGTGCTCAGGCCCTGTGAAGGGGCCGAGTTGGGCATCGGCGTGGTGGCCGCTCAGTGTTTCTCAGGGTCCCTGACGGGCCTCTCACTGCTCCGCAGGTGGTGAAGCTGCTGCTCCGGTATGGAGGGAACCCTCAGCAGAGCAACAGGAAGGGCGAGACGCCGCTCAAGGTGGCCAGCTCCCCGACCATGGTGAACCTGCTGCTGGGCAAGGGCACCTACACGTCCAGCGAGGAGAGCTCGGCCGGTCAGTGCTGCGGGGGCGCGGGCTGGGCAGGCGGCGTCATCGCGGTCAGCAGGGCTCTCCCGGCAGCCTCCTTGGATGCCTGTTGCTGACGGGAGCTTCTGGCCCGTGAGGAGTCCCCCCC